GTACCTGTATCTCTGTGTTGATGTTCACTCTAGGACTCGGACTCAGTACCGTTCGCTTCAAATAGCCACCGCGTTATCCACTTAGATACTGAGTTCTGATAGCCACTTGCTTGTGCAATGGGGTGAAGTTTAAATTCATTTTGTATTGTTCGTTTGAATCTTCCTACTTAGCTAAATTTATTATTTATTTGAACACATAAATATTGGTACAAGAGGGCACCAAATGTATATGCGCCACACAAAATTTCATTTTATTTGTGTGTGGGCTGTGCTACTGCCCGGGTGCCCAAACCGAAGCAGGCGGTTTCCTTGGGGGGCCACACCCCGAGCCTTCGACCTATAGGACTAACCCACAAGGCAGTTGAGCATCGTGAGGAGATGCAGTCCCATGGTAGCCGGTGACCAAGAAATTGGTTCATACGCCATTTGTTCCCTCAGGCAGGATACTGGAGCCCATGTGCACCATTGATTTGGGATCCGGTTATAGCGCCGAACGTTCGCTTTTCATCCTCTCATTTTCGTAAACAACAGTCCGGCCACGAGAAGGCAGTGAGTAGGACTTCCGTGACAGAGGCTATATACGCGTGGCCGTGTGAGGGCATTTCGAGAGGTAGGACGGTCCCACCACACTCTCGGCCATACTAGGGCATTTGGGGGCACTTAGCTAAATGGATAAAGTGATGGCGTTTGAAGCGAACGGTACTCGATTTGAGCCCTAGAGTGAGTATCAATTCTGGGATGCAGGTACATCCATCTGACGAATCCCAAATAGGACGAAGCGTGAGTTCCGGACCCCATTGCTAGCCACCATCCATCTCTACTTATACGTGATAACCTTTTTCAAACTCACGAATTAGTTTCTCAAAACGATATAAAAAGACGGAGATTATTTTTAAGTTATTCTTGTTAAGGTCAACTAAGCTAATTGTAGTAAAGTTATGCACTTACATCGAAAAAAACTTGAACATAGGCAAAGTAAAATTGTGTTGTTTCAGATTAATTTTATAATCAATGATTTTTTTAAAATTAATTTTTCGATGAACACTCAATCAGCTTTAGCAAGGCTTTTTTACTAACTTATATTAACTAATAAAGAATCCCTAATGTGTTTCGTTGTAACAACTGGATTCTTCATCAAATGTCATCCAACGTATACTGTAGTGACTGCTACTTATATGGACAGATACAAGCAGTATATACTAAGAATTGGGAGAAGTATTCTTACTGACAGAAAAGGAAAATAAGGAGAAAATAGAAAAAAAATCAAAGCACTTTTAATAGTAACAGAGAGGAATGAATGATGGAACTTGTAACTACCAATCTAAGGAAGATTTGCAAATGATTTACTGAATGTAACGTTTACACATTTTACAAATGCAGTGTAATTCCGTTTATCCTAACAAAGTTTTAGTACATCATATTATTAGATCATGTATCAAACTATCATCAAATTGTTTCACTGTTACTCTTATCAAGTAACACTGTATTATCCTGTTACTACAGTGTATATTCTTATCGATTCTCAAAAAAAAAAAGAATTACTTGAACAACTCAAATGTTAATTTATTACGTGAATGTTAGAAGAATTAAACTTATATGATACTTAACTTACTTACTTATTGATATGACAATTAATCATGAGAATAATTATTTTTAATATATGAGAAATAGAATTCTCATTCTCTGAATGAGTTCAACTTTTCATTATTAATAGTAAACAATTGTATCTTTTTAACAAGGTATCGATTAATCTTACAATATCTTATATTCTTATAAAATACACTAATTGATGCATTAACTTTGTGAAGAAGAGTATATTTATCATTTAAATTTGTATTGACAATGTAAAGTTTAACACTCATCACAATAAATTTGATAATACACCTTATCATATTGTAGGGTTAGAGAAATAATACTGAACTCTACCTAAATTATCAATCAGGCTGAATGTATAACAAATTCTGAAGACTAATCACTAGATTTCGCCAAAATCAAAAATATTCCGTTATAGAATGAACACATGCATTATAATGACCGCCTCATATACAGTACTTTTCTTTAATTTGGTCTGTCGAGTATATGACATTCTTTCTATTAAGACTTTAACGGTAAGGCTAGGAGTTGACTGGATGCCATAACTTTGATGTAGAACTATTTCAGTTAGGCAGTCATATCATTCCCGTTCAACTCTAGTGGATGAGGACTGCAGGCCAAACGAAACAAGCAACAGCATTACATCGATCATAGTCCGACATCTACAATAATTTCATACAATTCAGCTAAAATTTCCTTTTAGCAATTAAGAAGAATAATGGTGTTGAATATATATTCTTCCGATACAATCTAACTGAATTCATTTACTCTGTTTACACATTGCTATTTAAAAGTGAATTTCCTGTTTCTCAAATGAGCTATTTGGGATTGACTGACCACTGAAATGACTAGCATATTTGTACCAATGTATCACTAAGCAGTGACCAATGTCAAGGAGCAAACGTTCCCTCGAGATTTTAGGAACGCCTTGTTGATGAGCGCTAACTAACAAGAAATCTAGGTCCAGAGTTTCCGTCCAAATACCTCTAACTACTTAATATGTTTAAACGGCGTAAACACCAGGAGTTTAGTCAGTTGATCTACTATGTCTCTAATGTGAATAACTCACATTCTAGTTTTAGAGTCCCTTTGACTTAACTGTTGAACTTACCGAGTGGTCAATCTCTGTTAGTTGATTAGTAACAAGATCCAGGTCAGTTCTCAATTAATTTACTCAATCTTGCAATATAATGTCTAAAGCAATTGAAAACTCAAATTAACATGACCCAGAACCCTCTTTCCCAAATAGTGAAAGGTGCTATAAAATCCAATGGGTTATCACAAACTAATTTTCGATAAAAGGCCTATTCACATGGATTTAACTGAATAGGTGTTAGGAAGGGATGATTAGATAATTCAGTAAATTCGTTATATTTGTTGGTTGTACTGGCTTAATATTATGATATAGTAAATTGTGCTCATCAATTAAATTATTGATCAATTAATAACAAGTAGTTTTCAGTTTAATTTGTCCATAATCCGACTACCAAGCGGTTTAAGTAAATTATGTATCATTGTATTCATATAAGGTTTTTTAATCAGTTTTAGGTGTCGAGTAAATCACTATCATCTTTATCTTTTACCTTGTTTTGAACAATATCTCCATTTTTCAGTTTACTTATCATACAAACAAGTTCATTGAGACAAACCGATCTAATCATGATTAGTTAAAAATCGTACTTCTCTTTAAAGCAGGTGCTGCTGTATAAATCAATTAATTCAACCAACTCAGTGAACGTAAATCAGCTACAATCATAATTAGAAGCATTTAACATATAACCGATCAGGTTATGAAGAGGTTTTGGATAAATTACTTATTCATCTTAAGTATCACTGAGTTTCAACGTAGTTTAACCGCCTAGATTGCACATGTGTGAATAAACTATCAGAAAAATTAGACACAGTACTTCAACAAAAAGCTTAATAAATTTAATTGATAACGTACTATTGAAATGTGCAGTACTAATTTGGAATGAACAGGCACTGGATCTAGTTTGCTGTCTTCCTTACTATCAATATTCTTAAAAACATTATAAAAAGACTAGTTGCATATTGCGAATACTCAAGTGGCTCATTCATTTATTAATGAATGAGCCACTAGATTTGTACAATTCGAAACTGATACCTGATGTGGAGGGTAAGAGCTTAATTAATTCCAATGCGAATGACATAAAAAGATTGATTTTTTTCCAATCATGTGACATGTATCCACATCTTAAGAAGGATTATATATGCTTAATTGTTTAATAAGATAAATGTGTTCACATCGTAAATTATTGAACTCTTATTATTAAATGTAATTTAGTTCAACTGGAAAAATCTGACTGTGAACAAATCATTTAAAACATGGTGTATTCCCAAATCATTTTGATTTATTTTAGCAGTCAAATAAACGGTCATCACCGGTCTTCGTGCCTTTTTTCTTGTGCTCGCGTTATCGTATAGATTAATTCTGGGGTTTTTAAAAGCAGCTAGAAAATCGGATTAAGTGTCCAGTTAGCAAACTAATCAATACCCGAACAAGAGGCTTGCTAAATTTATGCTCTGGGGGTAAATGAAGGTTAGTCGAGGCAGATGGTTTGTTACGATATAAAGCTGTGACTATGTTCCTGTTAACGCTTTTTTAGCGGATTGGTTTTCTACGGCATGGGGTCGCTAACCACATGCCCAACCCTCCTCCTTTATCAGGGCTTGGGACCGGCAGTAGCCCCCGGAGGGACTCCAGGGAAATGGAGATAGACATGAGAAAAATGAACAAGCATTGGATGGAACTAGGAAAGAAGGCCCAGGACAGAGTGGGTTGGAGAATGCTGGTCGGCGGCCTGTGCTCCATTAGGAGTAACAGGCGTAAGTAAGTAATGTTCCTGATAAGCATCTCGGAATCAAGGAACGTTAAGAGAAAACAATTATGAAATTGAAACTCAGTAAGACAGTATGCATTCAAATGACTTGACCAAGTTCTGCTTTCTTGTTTAAATTTAATAACCGTCACGAAATAAAAATAGAACATTGACTGTATCTAAAGAAATCGATATACATTTTGTAAATATACATACTTATCTTTTCAGGAGTTCATTATCATTATTATTGTAATTAATATCGTCCTGAAAAAATAGGTATATATATTTGCGATTGAAAATGAATTCGCCAAAAAGAGAACTCTTCGTTGAACCAATTTTTCTTATTTAATGTCTTACTTAATGGGCGTATTCCGTTTACAAATTTTGTATTCTAGTAATATGATGTATAGTGTTGGATAGTTAAAAACAATTGACCAAAAGAGATATGTGCTTCAGGATTAGATATATGTTGCAACCACAATCGAAGACAATTGCAATAAACTGACCGAGCAGTGACAAATTATCGTGGAAATGGATTTTAACTGAACAATAAGTGTGAACTAGACAGCAGTACTTTATTATACTAAAACGCAGTTTTACATGCAACTCTTAAATACGTTTGAATTAATAAATAACAACCTCGCTGAAACTGTAAACTGACATTCATTTTCGAAATTCGCTGAAGATGCAGCTAAACAGTACAGTGAAACTAGAAGTTGTTCTCAAAAACTTCGCAACTTTTCCTAATAAAAACCACCTTCTATTACGATATTTACTGATGAAACACAGAGTTAAACAAGACTAACATCAATCCTGAGCTATTCATCATACAAAACAAAAAGTTGTGTAATTCCAATCTATTTGCTTGTTTTATTTCTAATTTTTTATAAGATATGGACACTGAAAAATAAATTCGTGAACAGCATTCTTTTTAAAAAAAGCGATACTTCCAAAGTGAAACATGAACACGAAAACAAAAGTTGATATGAGAAAGTGTAACAGGCATAATTACCAAAATATACGAACTTTAAAATAGATAATAATAATAACAGTAATAATAATACTAGTAATGTTTTCAGTGTACTTTGAGAAACCGGTAATAATCATGTCAATGACATTTGGAAATAAACAATTGTTTGGATATCGGTAAACTATTGTTATAACTGTTATTGATAGTAGTGAGGAGATTGTATATGAGGAAAGCAGCTTAGTAATAGCATTGATCAATGGACCAAATGAATGTCTGGGTGGTAAACACAAAAATAATGAAATTGTTCGATAGTTGTCTGTCATAAACTCACAATGACCGCCAGAATTAGTGCATACTTGTGCAGATGATGTAAGCAAATGTTGATTTCACGAAATAAACATTCTGCACCATGCCTTAATCCTACCATAAGACAACCTGAGGACTGTTTTTTTTAAAATTAGATCAAAATTTCGTGCACAAAAATAGAACAATCTGCGTTCTCTCATTATTCTAAGATTGAGGTTGATGTATGTAAAAATGAGGCCAGTGTGAATTGGTCATAAAACAGTAATGAAAGAAATGTTTATCGCTTTTAAAAGATAGAAAAAATTTCAATCCAATATAAAGAATATTTGGTGAATACAACTATTGAGTATATATATGTATATCCGTCGTTCGTTTTTCCCTAAGCAGTAATAATTTCACGGTCGTTTATTCGTTAAGGTGGACTCATGAAAACAGAAACAAAATAGATTATTCTTTATTGAAAATAAAAGGCAAAACACTAAACTAATACCTTCTAACATAATAATAATAACAATGACCTGTTCTTTGCTGATACGAGAAACAACCGCAAACAATAACACAGAAAATAACGCTGTTTACATACGTGCAAAAGTGCATGCAAACACGCAGTCATATGCATAAATAAGTAACAAAACATACTTATTGGTTACGTTAGAATAAATACACATAGGTAATGTGTGTGTGTGTCAGAAATGAAGAGAAAGAGATAAGAAATAAATTATTTGATATTTTCTGAAAATGCCATTGGAATGAAATAATTCACGATAAAATATAAGAAAGTCTCAAGAAACCATTGAACATTTGATTAGTATATTCGAGGCAACAAAAAAAACAATTAAAAATCTACATTTCTGTACACAGTCTTGATTATATTATATCCTACATAAACAAACACAGTAGCATTATGGTAATGTCCTGGGCAAGTAAGAATATTCATAAAAATGAAATGGATAAAGAGAAGATATTTTAACACATTTACAGTTGATTATCGCAACCGCCTTTGCTTAATCGATGCTGAGCAATTTCCATAATACCATTCAAATGTACTAAGGCAGCCAATACAACAAATACATGAAATATTTGATGACTTTGGAACTGAAAACACAAAAAATATAAAGAGAAACATTGAAGGATAAAACTTTTAAAAAAATGATAACAACAGAATGTATAATACTAAAATATAATTAAGAAAAGTTGAGAAAGGGTATATATGAGAGCCAGCCATCGAATATGTTGTTAAAGATATGAGGACATTTATCACTCCCGGTTACTTACCCCATAAGATTCTTCTTTTTCGGAGATCTAAACAGGAAACTGGATTAGCGATGACATCTAAGATGTAAGGATTGATCCGATTGTCCAAGGGAAAATTGACTGAGAACAGTCACACATAGACGTTTCGTAAGTAATTTTTGGTGTGTCAACCCCATACTTTGAAGGCCTTAAAACAGACGACGGTAGTTTTCGGGGTAAGTTGGGATGTTATATTTGGAACCAATCTTTTCTAACCTCCAGCCACTGCTGTAGAAGTCAGAATCTTTGCAGATATAGGCTGTTTGAAGTAAAAATCATACTCCCATCACTTTTACATTACAAGGGTTAATTTAGAGTAACTGGAATCAAACACACTATATTATATATTCGACGATGCTATTTGAAGTAGTAACTTCAGAGGAATTACTAATATTAGGTTTTTGAAAAAATACAGTGTGCAGTAAAACGTGATACTGCATCTTTTTGTACAGTTCAAACGAATAATCAGTAGTTTCAACAGACAAATGAACTACTCCATATTTAGGTTAGCTTACACATTTTACATTCAGTCACATCGCACAGGACAGCGAAGTTTACCATAGTAAAGGTGTTAATATAGAGCACGTAAGATGTGTTCTAACTATCCAAGTTTAATGTAAATCCTAACACAATTATTAAACATTCGAACTACTCTATTTAAATAAATTTACTAAAGTTGTCCACCAAACTCTTGATGTCGGTAACTTAACAGTTAAGTGCAAAAAGCTTTTAGCTAAAACATCTCCCAATACCACAAAAGAAAACAAATACTATCATATCATTGCAAGTATATAGACTGTCAAAATAAAAGTATATTCGGGCTGCCACAGTGCGTACCTAAAAAGGAAACAACTAAGATTTCACTATATATGTCATAGTCTTATCGATATTATTAGCTAATACTTAAAGTTACAATTAATAACTAATGCTAAGGACTCCAACATAGTTTTCACTTTAAGCTAACATCACCTGTCAAAAGCTAATGAAAACCAGGGAAACGCTTTGTTCTACTTTGGGACCACCTTTAAAGTAGTACACATTCACAACTATGCACGGAACTCAACCTTAGGCATTCACTTCTCTCATGGTAAGCAAGATAACTTTAAACTATTGAGTCGAATTTCAATAAAGCGTATGTTAAACTTCAATTACGATGAAATTATTAGTTCACAGTAGAAATTCACCTCCAGGTTTAACAGATATTTATAAATCTATATTCTAAATATTACCAAAAACAATGAAACAATGTTGATTTAGTGATAAATAAAATAATTTGATAGCTACATGGGAAATAGCTCACAGTCTGCTGCTTTTGCATAAAATATTACTTCGCATAGACATAGTGTTATAGCCTGTAAATAGGTGTGGCTAGAAACCAACAATATATTTAAAAGATGTAAAAAATGTGGCATGATTTGAAACTAGGCCTATTTTACATTTTACATAGGGACAAAAACGTACAACAAATGGCTCTGAACGTAGAACACAATATTTACATGACAGTTAGTTTTTAATCCCTCCATATCTTTTTGTTCCAAGTTTTCTGCATTTGTCTTTTTTCTTTTTTCAAATAATTAAAACTTATTTTAGTTTGTAACAACAGGAAAAGAACCTACATATCTAATGAACTCACAATTAATTTCACCGGGTACTCAGTTATGACCCACACTCTAGATTTGAGGGTTAATGATACTACCCAGTTGTCCAAATAGAATTAGATTGACTGAGGTTTGAATCCGGGACATAATGACTACGGGTCAAGCGCCGTAACCATTAAGCTGTCGCTCCATATATACTTATAATGTTCCACTACAACTGTTGTTATACGCTTACCAAAATTTGAAAATGGTTGGTGGGTGGTGAGATGAATTTATTTGATATGAACATTCGCAATTGACTCAAAACGATGCTAATATGTTAGATTCTACGGAATGTTATTTTAAGTCAACATATTACTTACAAGAACAATAGGTCTATCGACTATGCTTCATACAATATTTTAATGTACATCTGAACTTGTATCATTAAATTATCAAGAAATCAAAACACAACTTTAAAAAGTGCTGTGACGAAGTTTATGTAAACTGTGAGTTAGCATCTAGCTACAGAACTCCAAATCAATAATCAGTCAATCATCATCGACACAGAGTCTAACATTTATGAGATCGCCCAAGTTATTATATCACATATCAACATGCGATGAAATTAAGATGATGAATAGCAAATGAGATCAAACATTAGGAACATGATCCGAAAAAAACAGAGTAGAGACGTATATGAAGAAGAACATTAAAATTTATAATCGAGAGGAAGATAAAGAACGAATGTATTTGCTCAATTTCAAACGATTTTGAGTCATATCACCTAAAATTTCCAACCACTGATCGCAGTTATTGAGGAAACACCAACAACGTAATCTGTATCTAACTGCGTGGAATAGAATACGTTGAAGTTATTTGCACTAATCGGAAACTTATAATAGATAGAATGTATCCTTTACATTTTCTTTCCACTAGCTTCTTATTGGTACCAAAACATGTCTTAATCCAGACCTTTAGTTCCCTAATATTAACCTTTTCCAAAAACTCAAATGAAATAGACAATTAAAAGTAATCCAAATACTTAATAATTAAACAAGTGGAAGGCTAAATGTGAATAATATCACTGGACTATAAACGTACAATGTCGGTTAAAAGCCAAGTGTAAAGATTTTTATTTATGGATGAATTGAGTTAATAATAATTTTTGAACTAGTTTAATTTGAGCAAGAATGTAATCGACAAATCAGAATGAAACAACTTACCCAAATATCAAATTTACCAGGATAAAGACGCTCAGGTATACGTAGTGCATAAATTGTAGCTCCTGATATATATAGTACAGCCATTAGAATTAGCCATCCCAGTGCAGAATAATGGACATTCTCCTGAAGATCTTCAATTAGAATATAATGTACACAAGGAACCACTCCCGATAGACCAAGAGCAATAAACAAAACTGAAATTTAAAACAGAAACAAAGTATCAATATTGAACAAAATAAGCGCATGGTAATCATAACTTAGTTTTCCGTGATGCGTAATTACAAAGTGACGATTATCATGGTTACGCAGCCTCACTGACAAAAAACAAGAGTGCGAACAGGAGTGATTTAAAGTGAAAGTGAATAAATCGAATTTTAGAGGTACACCGAGTTTGTTAAAATATTTTTGAACATTGAAACAGTAAAATTTTAATATAAAATAATTAGGTACGGTGATGTGTAAATGACTAATCCGTGCAACTAACATTCTACACAACAAAACGTATATACTCTAAAAATAAACACTTTATCCCAATCTTTTCTTTGAACAGTAAGATGTTAAAACGTAACTATCTCGAACTTCCTAGATATCGTCGACAACCAATATTTAGTTAACTAAAGTATGTAGACATATTACTCGCTGTTAAAATATGAAAATCATTGCACGTAGTGTGTAATAGTTGAGTACTGAATATACTAAAGAATTTCATAGATGACTTCATAGAATGTTTTTGTAATCTGTCATAGATGCAGCTATATTTGTGCTCTTTATCAACGTATTGAAGTTAAGTTACATGGAAATAATAGTAAATCTGATTAATTCATTTTTAGTGAACTTTAGAGAATTTCCTTCATCATGAAATGATCCAATCAAAGACTGACATCAATTGAATAGGACATAATCCGATTTACAAATCCAAACCATCAATCAATTATTAATCAGGAAAAATCTTTACGAATAGATATAAATAGGTTAATTAAACTCAGTTCTAGGTCATGGATCCTGTGAAGCAAATTCTTTGATCTCGTTGAAGACTATAAAGCCAACATCGATTCTACGATCAAGATTTTAACTGAAAGTTTATTCGAAAGTTAGCCTACTTCTTCAAGTCTCCCATCGATTGTTCCAATTTTTTATGATGATTGTGTAATTTAGCTACCTGTTAATTTGGTCACAAATATTTACAGTCCACTAGCATTATTTTCCCCTGATTATTAAGCAATTAAATTTTTCTGGCACCCATCATATTTTGTCAGGCCTCTCTAGGATGAATATCGTTATTTTGAGACAGCTCATAAACCAATTACTTGGAAACACTTTGAGATGAAAGAAAGCGGTCATAGGTGTTTTCGAAGCATCGCTCGTATATCCTGGGACCATCGAGTAAGTAATGCAGTTGTTAGGAAACGGGTACTAGGTAAGGATGGCAAATCAATTGATGAAGTAGTGAAACTTAATCAGTTGAAATGGCTGGGACATGTGTTGCGCATGCCCGATCACCGACTGCCACGACGTGCGATGTTCAATGGTGTAAGAGTAGGTTGGAGAAAGCTAGAGGCGGCCAGATCAAAACATGGCACAAATCCATGAAGTCACTGACAAGTGGACTGAGCCATGTTGGTAGATGTAGACTACTTGGTTGGGAACCGCGAGATGATAGCAACCGATGGTTAGAGACCTTGAATGACAAGGCTGAAAATCGTTTGCAATGGCGCAAGCGCATCCACTCTCTGTGTTCTCTCAAACTCTAATCTTCTGAATTCTTCATGTTCTTTTCTTTCCAAATCTATTCCACTGGACTATACTCCTTAAATAACATCATCAAACCCCTATCGATAACTGAATCTCTGTGCTAATGTGGTATGGCAACTCGAACTGATGTACGTACGTACGAAGTTCTACGTTGTTGCTGACTGACTGACTACCACACATGTTTTGTCAGTCTTCTCCAGTAACTTGAAACCGACCAGTACTTGATATTTTAACTATCATACAATTAAATCGCGGATACGGTATACACACATAACTTACGTGCTCTAGCTGCACGATACGTTGGGCTAAGAAAATAATCTTGCGTGCATACAAAAGCGCAAAATGCACCAAGTATCAGCACAGCCAAAATATAAACAAGTTTGAATGAATTATAACAATAGAAAGAATAATGGATCCATGGGATAAATGACCCGATAACAAGTAATGATATTCCAACATAGTCCAATCTGCAAAAAACAATTAAATTTATACTGTTTTTTATACGATAATACGCTTAAATATTCTATTTGTAGAAAAAATACGTTTAAATCTAGGGAGAAAGAGGATATGTAAGATGTAATACCACATGTATTAAGTTATTTGAGTGAAACGAGATATTTAAAACAATTTATCTAAATAAATGCTGGAAATAGTATGGATAATTTTTATAACTGAGAAAAGATCGTCAATAATAAAATAACATTCTACCTAACACTCAATTTATTTGAAATTATCAAGTCTAACCTTGATAACAGGACTTATGAACAAAGACTGATATGGGTTGATGTAAGGAATAGTAGTTTCAAGAACAGGCAAATCTTTGGAACAGCTGTTACCCCCGGTCCCATTTTTACTCAATTTACGTACTTGTACTAAGAAAGTTAAGAATACTACTTAATTTATCTTTAGAGGTGTCATCAGAGCAAACCACTTTGGTACGATGAGTCAGTATTATTATTTTATTTCATTTTAACACATAAATATTGGTACAAGGAGGCACCAAATACACATGCGCCACACATATCTCATTTAATATGTGTGAGGGCTGTGATACTGCCCGGGTGCCCAGACCGAAGCAGGTGGTTTTCTTAGGGGGCCACACCCCGAGCCTTTGACCTGAACGTCTGACCCACAAGGCAGTGGAGCATCGTAAGGAGATGCAGTCCCATGGTAGCCGGTGACCAACGATTGGTTCATACGCCATTTGTTCCCGCAGAATACTGGAGCCCATGTGCACCATTGGTTTGGAATCCGGTTAAAGCGCCGGACATTCTCTCTTCGTCCTCTCATTTTCGTAAACAACACCCCCTCCACGTGAAGGCAGTGAGTAGGACTTCCCTGGCAGGGGCTATGTACGCGTGGCCATGTGAGAGCATTTCGAGAGGGAGAGCGGACTCTCCTCACTCTCGGCGGTACCAGGGCGTTGGGGGGGGGGTTATTAGGTTTCTTCTATATATGATCTGTACAGAACTATAACAATGAATATCTTGTCCAATTGCGGATTTCCTATGTATTCCTTTTACTAATCTTCCGTTTAATCTCTTAAGTCGGACGTCTAAAAACGATGTGCTATTATTCTGTTTTCCCTCAAGCATGAACTTAGTAGATGGATGAACGTGATTAAATATGATAAACAAATTATTTATATTTTTATTCTCCATTGCTGCGAAAGTATCATTTATGTAGGGACAGTAAGATGTTAGTTGATAGATAGTGACTTTAAGCTGTCTATTTTCTAGTTTTGCGAGAAAAGTCTGCCAGCGAACGATTCAATGGTGATCCTATGTCAGCACCATCTATGTCTTTTACTAAATGTCCGAAAGGAAATTCTCACTAAACTGCAGCCAAATTACGCTGTTATATATCACTTAGTTGATCAAAAGTCAAATTTCAGTACACTGAACTTGCAGTGCTTGACACAAATTAATGAATAACTTAATACATGTATAAAACTTACAACATTAACAGATAAACTGAAGAAACTGACAGTTATAGCTAAATTCCTGAGTTATATATTTGATTTTTCCTAACACTTACTTAGTTTTACACATTTGATACTTTAATATTGACCCTAGCTACCTTGGAATTTCATGACTGTACAAAGAAAATAGAAGCTCTTTGAAAATTACATTGAACATTATTAACTCTTGTTTTAAAACACATTCGAAATGTTATGTTGTTTTAACTGCTGAAGATATTTTTATGTAAAGTCACGAGTAGAAGATGTTCATGTTTATCATAATTACCATTAATTAAATTCATAATTAATCAGAATACATGTAGTAGACTTAATAAAACTAAATAATGTGGTATTGAAGCAGATGTATGGATATGTGAAGAATGAAATATTTGAGCGAGTTGAAGACTGGAAGTAAGCAACGCCCGTCGCGTTTTTTTAAGTCGTTAAATCGATAATAAGAGCAGATTAATTCTACAATTTTAGGCAAGATATATGGAAGAAATGATACTAAGTGTTTGAAATCTTTTGAAAAAACAACCTTGACGAGTCGTTCTCGGAATCCATCGCATGAAAATAAACTTTCTTTAAGAGACAAAAAGGATACCAGGACTAGAAGACATGGGAAATATTTATGACAGATGTATGTAGCTTTGGCCAAGGCTTGTAGCGATTATAATGAGTTAAGTCTGCACTATTCTTAAGGTTTATAAATCTATATGCTGAAATTCATAAACTTTCAACAAATAAATATTAATTATTAATTCTTACATAAAATGCCCTGATAAGTATATGTGTGACCAGACTGTTCGAAATGTATAGCGCAAATACATCACATTTTTCAGATCAACTCCGTCTTCTCATTGTTCTATCGAAATTTATAAAAGGGACTAATCGCTTTAAATATTAAGTTACCGGAATAAAGCAATAGTCTATACTGGAAATGATCATAGAATACTCACTTGTTGAATAATTTACCAACACGTTCTGAATGGCAATAAACTGTGTGAAACAACCATGAAAAACCAAGTGCAAGGATGGCGCTTGTAAAAAATACCTGGACAACCATTTTCTCTTGCCAATGTATATTTAAACCCGGATGAACTAGAAACAAGATACTCAAGATCAGAAAACAAACGAAACCTACAGAAAGTCGAAAAAATTAGACGACACGTGTCAGGAAGTTCAGTTGATGTGTTAAAACTATCCAACGAACAAAAATGTAGATGCAAAAACCACATAGAGTGGATATATTGTGAATATTATAAATATTTACATATTTCTAACAGAAATTATCATTAACACTGAGTTTTAAAATATATGGAACAAAATGTCGACTTTACTGATTACTACCAAATACGACCTAAATATTAGCAAATGAAAGGATGATATATCTGTTTAATCAGTGATTACTGAGATCAGAGACTAATCAAACAGTGACGTAAATACTGGAAAATAACCTAAAACTTAATACTAACAAACACAAAACACTCCACACTCCAAATCTAATAAGGTAATGCTAAGGGTGATATTGCCATTTAGCTCCTTGAAGGACTGCGATTAATATGAAATGTTCTCACATATGTATAAATTGTCTGAAGTTGTTAAACATAACTGGGATCTAGCTAATGTTTGGAAGTATTTTAGAACATTTTGTTTGTTGACTAAAATAATGAATATATATTTAGTCACTTGGATTATTTGGAGCCACTACTTAGTATGAAATTCCACAAGTTATTACATAGTGACAGAAATATATTACTTTCACTACGGAAATGTAAATGGCTCTCAGTCAAAGATTACACTTTCGGACTTATCCTGTAGACTGGAACATAAGAGCAGTAACAAAAAATCCAAGATGTTTCACATCCGTTAACATGGGAATGTGAAATGCAAATATCACTCAATGCCACTGAAGCAATAATGATACCCAACAAGTTGTATTTGTGTCAGAGAACCTACACGTTGAGGTCTCAGGACATATCTGAAATATGTGGACTTTTTATGAACTAGAGTAGTCAAAAAATTAAGACTTACAGGGATCTCTGCCTAACGCACTATCTTTACACGTCTTAATGGCACCATTATATTTTTCTAAGAAAACATCCAATAAGGCGTGTTACGAGTTACCAATAGTGCTCACAGTTCGTCAAGGTTACGAGGAAGACCGAGAAAAGTAACAGCACAGAAAATCAATACGAACGTGATAGGTATGTATTAATAAGATTTTTTGATATATTGGAGTTAAAGTGGAATAAGATGGATGCAAATATTAACACAAAAATTACTGACAACTTACCAATGAGATGTGTCCAAATATTTCCTGTTTCCGTATGAAGTCGGAAGATAGAACGGAAGCATTCACGAAATGATGGGAGTTGCGGACGGTGTCCCCGAAGGAGAAAGTCGTTGTCTTTTAACCAGTGTGGTAAGCTATGGTGGTGAACTACTCTCCACCCTTTTTTCCAAAGGTGGATAACCAACTCTTCTGCTTGCTCTACAGCCCTACTAGCAGCCTCTCCAATCTCATGAGCTGCGAACGTAAAGTAATCGCCACCATAACTAGCAGATCGACGATGTGCGCACAAAGGAGAGTGACTTGTTTTGGGAACAGTTAGTGACTGCAGGTCTGTAACAGAAGAATTTAGATCCCAAGACGGTTGTGGCGTATATGCGTTGGTGGCCACATGGTTTGAAGAATCGCTGGACAGGCAAAACTTTGGCAACTTTCGTCTCCTCACAGCAGACTGTGGCATCCAATCTGCATCTGTTTGGTTTGATATCAGAGGATCACAGGAAGATGAGGTGATACAGGCAGACCCCTCAGAATGCATCCGTCTATGTTTACCACGCGTGCTCTGCATATTATCCTATATCGAACAATAAAAAAACATTTTGGATGATACTTACGTGTTGAGAAGAAACGTGGTGAATATTATGCGACAAATAGTCCGTTGGTCTAAAAGAACTCCCCATCATTGAATGGAAACACACGTAAAGCGCGCTCAAGTCAGCTGATTCTGGTTCAATGAGCGCACTAAATAACATGATCCAACATAACAAATGTACACTACAAGATCTTAACTGACTCAATTGACTGTAAGGATAATTTTATTGGGCTTTGCCTCGGATTCCTTTTTTGCTTTATTTCCCTATTTAACTTGGTAAATCCTATGACAACTTGATAAAAAATCAAATAGAAGGTTCCAGTTTCGTTATGGGGAGGAAAATAGTCTATGTGACTTGTGTTAGTCCCATCATTGGTGGTCTCCCAGTTGATCCAACTTGCATTTGAAAGCGTCATCAGCTGGAGCTTCAGTCTCGTGTTGAATTAATGGATTCCATTCGTTGATAATTCAATGAGAAAGTTGATAGTCATCTGACAAATAATTTGTTCTGAGTAGGTGAATATCTTCATAGTGTCCTCGTAATTTCTCTGTTATTGCAAGGCATTGCAGATTTAACTTCATTATTAAGTCATTTAAGAATTTTGATCAAGTCGCCGCTGGTTCTTCTATACGACTAAGAAAATAGTTTAGTCAGTTGAGCATCATACAGGAACTTCGTTATTCCGGAGATGAGCCTAGTTACGATCATTTGAATCTTCTGTAACATCTAAATGTTTCTTTTTAGCCAGGAGCTAGCCGTTTAGATGTGATACTCGAGTTTAGGAAGAACGAATATTGCATACAAAGTCAAAAAGGTTTTAGCTCCAACATAGCTAAAAGGCCTACGTATTGACTATATAGTTATAAAGTCTTTTACAAATATCGCACGACAGTATGGAGAAGATTTACGTCTTGACTGAAGGTGACTCCTAAGTCATTATGTGTTTAGATAACAGGTAGGTCAGTGTAATTCACGGTGTATGTATATGTACCTTGGTAACAAATATTCATCACAATGCACTTGAAAGTATCAATCGGCAAATGCCAAATTTTAGACCAGTCAGATATCTCCAGACCATTTCAAAGTTCTAAACTATCACTCTTACTTTTAATCGCTCTCCATATTTTGGCATCGTCAGCATTTAACAAAACCGATGATGACTGGGAAGGTCATTTACATACAAGAGGAACAACACTCCCACAAACTGTACCCTGTGGCACTCCGCTAAGCACAGATCCCCAGTTAGAAAACTTTGAGCTCTTCTGTACTCTCTGTTGACGCCAAACCAGGAAGCCTCAACGGTATGTACATTTCTTAAGTAACTTAAGAATATCTCAACTTTACCATAATGGTCCTCCTTTGATAATGAAGTACTTCTGTTTCCTCGTAATACTAGAATACTTCCTCTTCTCCTAGTCCTTTGGTCTATGCACGAGCATAAGCGTTTAAGATATTTTAAAGACTCCTTGGAAAGTCTTTGCTTCTAAAAATATTAAGACTTTCATAAGATCGAAGCAGACTTATTTTGAGCTTCCTGATTTTGAGATTTTGTCTCGTCGGCTCCCTGTAATGCAAATATTTTCCACATTACTCACCTCCTAATGAGAAGGGTTCGAACTTCCTTGCTTAACCACGGTGTTGAATTTCTCGGACCGCTTGGTGTAGTCCAAGGGATATACGGTGCGGTGACCGCAGGTGCACCAAAATCACCAGTGATAAAAGACCGACCACTTGGATCTGTTTAGCAAGACCTTATTCATCTCGCAGTATGAACTGAAGCAGACAACTTTCGGTTTTTGTATTTCAAGCGGCAACTAACAAACCTACAAGTCCCACTTTTCTGGAATATTATATCAATAACGGCAAATGGGATAGCAATTCTTATGAGCGGATCTGTAGAACTGTGGTCTACAATGATATCTATACTGCTCTGATGATAGACTTAATCTTAAAATTGTACATTTGTCATGATGTAACTGCTTGCGTGGAAGTCACATGATTGTCTACACTGACTCATCGTATCGTGACAGTTACCAATATATGATGGAGAACACATTTAAGCTAGAAATAGAGCAATATATTTGATACGAATAAACGATAGCCACGCCTGCAAGGCCGAACTTTGCCATCCGATCAATTCTAGTTAATTCAATTCCTTCTTTCCGCCTTCGCCATCGTTGGGTTATTCTCCGCGTTAAATTTTGAATATCTAGTTTCCCAGTTGTCTACTGTTCATCTGTGATGATTGTGTGGTTAGGGCTCAATGACACTACAGATCTACTCATGCTCCTTTACGCCTCTGGATTTTGTTGGCCCTTACTAGTGTGAAACCTTCGAAACATGTTCACTACTGTCTAAAGACGGTGTCAGCTAGGTTTCGTGAACGTGATAACAGTCGACCTGATAGAGTCTATCTATACACCTACCTCGAGTAGCTTGCTGAGCAAGCTCCAAGCATTTGTGCAACAGATCCGAAGACCATTTAAATTACTTCGTGTGCTAATGACTCATTTTACTATATTGTAACCCAACTGCTTCCTTTACAAGTCTAGTTGAAACGGGACTAAACTAGGATTTTAGAGGATATTCAGTGCTTTTTGGCTTGCTGCAAGTCATTACAAGGTCGCCTCTGAGTCGCCTATTCTACCAACACAAAACAGATATTGATGGAAATATCACGAAAAATATAAGTGGAATGATAAGAGACGGTAAACAACATCTTAAAGTAAGGATAAGGACCCAGATTCCATGACTTATCGGAGTTCCTGGGAAACATGGCGTCACTTGCCACAAACTTAGGGGCAACTCGCAAGTGGAAGCTACAAACTCAGACAAAATCAGTATGTAACTAATCCACGTCGATTCGAGCTAAGGGGCACGCATTGTCGAGCCTTAAAAAGAGTCATTATCAAGTCCGCTCTAGTGTTCATGAGTCCTCGTCCAGTGCACAGATATTGGCAGAGGATCACAACGTGTGGACAGACATACTCAAGAGGGCCAGTTTGTGTTTTCATTGTTTGAAGCCTGATAACCTAGCGACAGGCTGTTCTCTATCCACGAAGTGTCATGTTGATTGTCATAAACTACGGCGTCACAAGCTTCCCACAGTACAGAGCTGGTGATTAAACACACTTATTGCAGTCACATTTACTTAACCGTAGCTTGCTTTGAATTTTTACCTCTTCAATTACGTGAAATTACGGAATGTGTGGATACGTATGCTTTATTAGATAGGGTGAAGGATATGATGCTACAGATGGATGATGTAGCAAATCAGACGAAAACACTTGGAACAGCAGCCCAGTTAAAGGTACCCCTATCAGGAGGACGTCCTGTTTTGTGTCAGTACTCATTAATTTTAAACTTGAATGATTACATACGGTTAAGCGGATAAAGGTTAAGAGATCGTGCAGTTAATATTGATTCCTTCTTGTCTATTCTTCATCAGCTTTTTACTCTCCTTTACACTATGTTGAACTGACATTAATTTTATTTCACCACTCGTTACCTTATCTATAACTTATATGTTTATATACTTTTCCACCTACTTCGGTGAACAACAATCCTACATTATACCCTTCCTAATGCTTATACTCCGATTGGCGATCCATACTTTATACTATAGTTAATTAAAGCAATGAATCGATACATTACCCACAGTCCATAATTTGTAACTACCTGATGAGCTGGTCAAACGCTAATTATAGAAATCGTGTTTTTCAACAGGATATGAAACACAGAGCATTGTGTAAGGTATGATATACATCCAAAAATAAGCTTAAGTGAGCCTAACTTCACAAAAGGGGAGGGGGTGGAGTTGCTCGCCAGCAAGCATTGACGGTGAGGGCAATGACTTCAATCCACTCATGTTTATGGAGCAGAACACTTTGATTGTGTCAGGCTACTTACGATTGAGAACAAGTTAATCAATTTGTGATATTGAGGTTGTCCTCTCACGCTCATCATTCACACCCATGTTTCTAGTTTTATGCTGGATTAACTATTCTACTAAGACAATCTATAACATGTTAACTCGGACATTTACACTACGACTGTGTAGTTGGCATCGAATGAAAAAAGACTTTGAAAAATCAGACAATGAAAGATATAGTTATTAGTTTTTCTTAACATATTACTCTCTGTATGCACTTTCCCTTCATTGTTCCAACCTTGATCTCCCTTCCTTCATTTGATCCAACAACATCAACAACAAAGTTGGGAATCAAGTAGCGACAAGCAAGATTTCTGGAGCCGACAGGACCACGACTGTGTGTTGTTGAGAAATTCTATGCTAGAACTAAATAACTATTCAATAATGGGTGGTTTTCAGTGGCTGGTTGGTTAATGTCAAACTCGAATATATTCTCTTGTCAAACTGATTAGCCTATACAAACATCTCATTTCGATAATAATCATACAGTCATTAGTGTTCGATAATGAAAATGAGACAACTGGTGCATGAAGAAAAGTGTATTAAGATCACAGCTGTATGTTTATGTAAGTGAATCGAACAAATAATACTGAAGGCTCTTAACTAGTAAGAATCAAAGATTCAATACTAAAGGAGGAACAACAAAACTGTACTTATAAGATCAAATGCAATGATTGTAATGCTATATATGTAAGTAAGGTTAAAGAAAAACAAACTATATTTGAAGCAAATTCTTAAATCCTCAAATGACCTGAAGAACTAAAAACCAAATCAGCAACAGCAATACACTCAATAGAGTTGGGCCATACGATTAATTTCAATGACACAAAAATCCTCCAGAAAGGTTCTGTTTCTTACAAAGAATGCCTTACTGTTGAAGCCCTACACATGGGCAAGTTCAAACATTGTTAATAGAAGAGATGGAATACAATTAGCTGTACTATGACAACTTATAGTTAATAATTAAACCAGTGTAGATGCCGACACTACTTCGAGCCCACACAGGTTATCCTGGCCTCTGGAAAAACTAATTTATTCATTCATCTCAAGCTACATTTTGACCTTATCAATTATTGGCCATGAATGTTTTTTGTATGATCGTATGCGTGTTAGTTACTTATTCTATTCATAATCTGTTTGTAATTTATTTTTGTCTGAATATAAATGAGTTACACTTTGTCAAATTAAATTGACTCATATGTCTTCTCCTGTTTG